TAGCTGCGATAGCTTGGGCATGTGTTGCGAATGCCTCCAGAAAGGAAGGCTAAGCAACTGTTCTTTGCAATTCCGACCGGCAAAAGGCCCAGGGGACGGCCAAGATTAACCGTTTGTAAACATATGGAAGGAATCTGTTCAAGACTGCATTTGTCTTTTGCCGAAGCTGAGACTCTGGCACAGGATCGCGAACGTTCGAAGCACTGTCTGACGCGTCTGCCTCCGCGACCCGAAGGGAGAAGCGGTGATGGAAGATGAAGAAGATGAAGATGTCGATTGCTTGAATCTGGAAACTTTTCAGTTTTTGACTGATGGCAAACAGAAGAGATTTCAGAAAAACCCGTAAGAGCATGGGTGAACAAGGTATACTAGTGCAATTTCGATGCACTGCTTTCATTGAGAGGTTTTTTGTACTTAGGTAATCATGCAGAAGGTATCCCAAGCGCGGATCGCATTGTTTTTGTTTTTACTTCTTTGTTTCGCACGCAAGGTTTCTGTGATAAATACCGAAGTTGGCTTTACAACGAGTCAAGTATGGCTCCGAACGTTTTTTGTTTCATCAAATAAAACATGTGTGCTAACCTCGTAAGAAGGGAACAAGGTAAATGAAGACCATGGACTGAATATGTTCCGCACAAAACACTGTCCAGTTTTTAAAAGTGCAGTATATGAATATTTTAACATTAGATGCCATTGGCACCTTGTTCTCATCACAGTTTTTGAATGGTAGCCAGGCATTTTCTGTGCAGAACGTAACAGTTAAAATCACTGTGTAAAGCATATTTGTTTTCTTTGACCTAAATTATAAATTATGTGTTCACAATCAATTCTTTTTCCTCTTCCAGTTGCCTCAGAACCTTGAAAAATTGTGAATCTAATCGATCATATTGCTCTGTATTGACGGATATATATTATATCGACTTCGAGTTCCTGGATGCTTTCTAATATCCTTTTACGGACTTCTTGTGCAATGAATGGTTGGAGTGGGCCAGCAGCATTTGTGCCAGTTGACCGGCGTATATGACCGTCATTTGATTAGTGCTGGTTCCATAGATGCGGGAAGCCGTCATCATCGCTCTTCATGGGGCTTTTTAGTCATATTTCTGTAAACCATCACATGTCATGGACCGGAAGAGTCCAATGAAGGATTGTACCAGGAATTTGGAAATAAATAGTCTTACTATCGCTCTCTACCAACTGATAGGCAGTTCCGTTAGTTGCTGCCGATTCAGGACTATCCATCTACATTTGAGAAATCCGAGAAAATGTGATCGCACCAGTTCAATTTATTTTTTATTCCAAAATATCTCTTAGTGTAGGTGAATATTACAAGCTTGTTCTCCTTGGTGGCTAAGTTGTGAAATAACGTGACTAATTTCTTTGATCCGATTGTCTTCATATTGGTTTTGAGCCCATGTTGCCTCGATTGATTGTCGTGTATTTTGAACAAGTCTGGTTCGTTTTTGATGGCTGAGGTTAAAAGAATGTCATGTCATGCGTATTCTTTACAGATAAAACTGAACTGGCACAGTGTACCATTATCTTTTAACTGCGGCGGAATAATTCGGTCTTTGCGTATGAAATTTTCTAGCCCGATATTCGTGATATTTGGCGTAAATGTTTTTACCATGTTGAAAATTGCTGTTTCATGATATTTACTATGTATGATCATAAATATACCTGAAGATTGTAAGACCTGGGATGAAAAAATCAGTTTGGCTATACGAATAGCGAATAAACAAAATGCCTTGGGGCTCTGAGGTGGTTGTTTTTTGATTATGAAAGAGGCTTTCAGATCGAACAGGGCTAGTTTTCTCCATTTTGTGCAACAGCTTCATTATGTCGACAAGGTCTTGTCATTATTTAACCTACGATATGTCTAGCAGAGAGTTTTCAACCAGCTCCAACGATGTTTAGATGCCTCATGTTAACCTGGCACTCTTAGGAATTTTTTTGCGCATGAGATAGGATTTAATTGTGTTTGCTTCTTGTCGGTGTTTTCTTATGTGTCTACCAAAAGCATTTTTGCATGTGATCTGATATATTGCTTTTGTTTGTTTGTAAAACGTTTGTTTCCAGGGGACACTCGTCTCACACATCTGCCTAACAGCGTGATAGATGTCGTATTTCTGTAAAGAATAAATCAACTGTCATGTCATTCTAGCAGTCCAACCGTTCCGGTTCGGAGGTCAACGCGCGACATCAAGCGCAGAAAGTTCGACGATGAAGTAGTAGAAAGCAGACCGTTGCCTAAATCTGTTAAGCGGCATAAAGGCACTGATAGGTACAGTTGGTATTTTTCATGTCGCACTAACGGTATGATCGTTAATTGTGCAGGAGGTCGTCGAAGCTGACGAAGTGCGTTTCGGTCGGAACAAATACACTGCACAGCGAAGTTCAGAAACGGATTGCCGCTCTGAACGACGTCGGTCGTTGGCTGCCCACTGATGACGTGGCTTTAATAACGGCCGTTGAGCAGGTAACGACCTGTGACATGTACAAACACGGTTTATTATCGCGGTATATTGTTACCACTAGTCTCGCAACGAATATAAGATATCCTGGACTGCCAGGATTTCCATTTGCCTCGCAGGTCCGCATCTCTCATCGATTGAGACTATGGTATTTTAGATCAGTAAGGCTTCCACAACTTTCCAGAGTATCGTCAGACTTTTTTCATGGCAGGATTTATTTTGCGCGATGACGACTATATCGTCACTTGACAAGAGAAGTGGATAATCATACATTTAATGCTAGACAACTGATTAAAACGAATACCAATATGTTTTACTTGAAATAACTTATCTTTTCGGGATCCATTGAAACGTGGCCTATTAACGGTTGGTTACAGTTTGCCAGATTCGAGTTAAAACTGATACGGCCGAAATGGATAATTGTGGAGCTTTATTAGAAGCCTTGTTTGAGCCATGCATATTGCTGTAAATAAGCAAAATGCGTCATTATAATGTACAAAAACATATAGAAAGGTCATTTCCATCTCCCTAAAAGAGACCAGTAGAAAATCATGATGATAATCAGACAGAATCTGCATCTGAATTGGTGTTTGAAGAAAACATTTATACAACTAGAGATAAATAGGCTAACTCTAATTACTGCAATTAATTAACAGTCTTTGCTGTTCAGTGTCTATATTAAGAGAATCGTGGCTAGCTGTTGATAACTGGCATTGTAGTCGATGTCTACCTTAGATTCAGAATAAATGTCGTATGCGAGGTAGCGTACAAGTTTGGACAGATAAAATTGATGATAACACAAAAGGCAGGCATCATGAATGTATTTCATCATCAAAACATAAGCTAATTTACTGTTGAAGGTTGTGTTGATGTGTGTAGACCATTTGGTTTAGGTTTAAGATGCTTTCCGTTTACTTTAAAGCTAAATAGTCCAATATGCTCACCAGTTCGAAAGGATATATTCAGATATTTCAGCAGTCGAGAACAGTTCGAGGCTTGAGATGTTATATGTAAGCGGCGCCTGAAATAACAGTCTTTTGTCAGTGCCCTTTCCTAAAAACATTCTGGTAACAAAGGAGTGTATACGCCAAATAGAATTATTTGGGCTCTTCTTTAGGGTCATTTCGATTTCGACTCTACCGTTTACACATGAATTTTTTTGCCCGAGATTAGGATATTCAGGGCCAAAAAGCGATAATGAATTTTCATTTAATTAGCAATGGGTAATATCATTTGAACTGAAGTTGAAGATGCCATCAGTGCAATCAGTGGGGAGGAAGAAAAGTTTGTAGCCGTTGGAATTCTGATCTTCTCTACACTTTCATGATGGACTATTTCTGGCACTCTCCGTTTCATTAAGTTATTGGCGCGTCGCTGATCTTTTGTTTTTATTCCATCATACACGAGTGTTTTATTTTAAATTTGGTGTCGACAACAGCTCTATATCGAGCGTGCAGCCTTCTGTTTCGTTCTTACAGTTTGGTACTCATTTATCATCCTCAGGAGGCAAAAGGCGAGTGACCGAACCTAGGCTCAAACTTAGTACTTCTCAGTTGTCAGTCCGACGCTTTACCAATTGAGAAATAGAAGTACTTATGGAGGTTACTTTTCTTGTATATCCTGAATGAAGCGTGGTAAAATACTTCATTGTATTGTCTGTCCTTCGGTGGAAGACGAAGGGCGACCATCTTCTGTGCCATTGAGGTATAACGGCCATAGGTAAATAATACATGTAAACGAACAAAATCGATAGCCATCGAAGTCACATACGTCTAGCCAACCTATGGAAGGTAGTGTCGCAGTTTGTTTGACACTTCGCTCAAAGCCTAGGCGAGGAGAGGCATCAATGTTTTTTCACCAACTGCCCAGTTTTTTGAGCAAGAAATTTACCCCACTGCGCCTCGGTGCAACTAGCCGAAATATAGCTGGCAAGTCGTTTGTCTGCAAATAATATGTACAGCATCATGTTCTAGCGTGATGATGTCAAATCTTGCGAGACATGCAGCCATGCTATCTTGATGTTTCCCCCTTCGTTCGTGATTCCCTCGGATTCACTTGATAGCTGGCTAAAAATCAGCATAAATTGTAAAAGTGAGGTAAAAGTTTAAATATTTCCCTGTTACTTCTCCCGATTTACACGGCGTAGCGTATTGGCATAGTAGTATGGG